TATTCTCTTAATTAATCGTTGAAAAATGCAATAAGAAAGTAGTTTTAAATATGATGTTTGACTGTACATGAATAACATTTGTCACAAATTATGAAGTGGAGAAGAGAGAGAGAGAGAGAGAGAGAGAGAAAGAGAGAAAGAGATATTGTTAAAATATCTTCGATATCTGTAAAGAGTCATTTGTAACGTGTCAATAATGATGAATGAGAGAGGAAAATGTAATTTGTTAGTGAATTTTTTTGATAAAAATTCTTTTTTAGATCGCGTTTCACAATATAGAAGTGTTTTATTTGATAGAATTAAAATGATCAATGAAAATAAATAAATATGTTAAATTTTTGATGATAACTAAATAGTAGAGTTTGATAAATAATAATATATTATGATTATTATAATATGAAAAAAAAAAATGTTAACTGGTTAGTTGATTATTTTTTGTTTCGAAAAGATGAGAAATAATTTGAAAATAAATCGATGATAATTTCTATATAAATATATAATTATTTCAAACAATAATCATATTCTTCATTTATGATTAATTCAATAAAATAGTTTTATCGTCATTTTTCATAGATACACAATTTTAACTTCTATCAATTGTTAATATTACTATTTTTAACAATGTTTTTATTTAATTTAATTAGAATTAAAATATTAAAATTTCATATATAGATTTTTTCAATATAACAAATAGAATTTGTCACATTATATTAGATTCTTATTAACAAAAATAATTCTTGTTTTAACTTGAAAATAAATTGTTTTTATGAACATAATATGGATTTGAAAACGAAATATTTCAATGTTGAAATTCATATTTTGTTAAGTAATTGACTAATATTTGATTTTTTTACTAAAGAGATAAAAAGCTTAGCTTATATATATATATGTATGAAATGAGATATATCTTTTTAATAATAATTAAATAAAAAAGTGAAGAAAAACTTTCTATATTCTAAAATAAATACTCAGATTTAGCGAAAAAAAAAAACTTTTTTTTTAAAAAAAATGTTTAGGTATTTATAATCGTTTGGAATTACAATCAAAATGTTCATCATCATCATCATCAAGATCATATAATTTGGTCTTATTAATTGTTATTCCTATAATAAGTGTAATTATATTAATATCGATAATTTCAATAATATTATATTGGAAAATAATATATTCAAAACGTTTAAAAAATAATATAAATTATTCTTATCCATCTAATAATATAAATGATGAACATCTGTAATATTTTGTTCAATATGATTAAAATGTTTAAAATGACAAGGTGGAGAAATATCACTTTTTTTAATAAAACGTTTTAAAATTTTATGATTTGATAAATTTTCTGTGAAAAATTGATTTTGTTTTAAATATGAATAAAATCTTGTGAAAAGTTTTTCATCATTTGATTTAAAACGTAACATAATTGATGAATTATTTAATGAATGACGAAATGAAATTGTTAAATTTGTTGGTTGAATAACATTTGATATTGATCTTATACGATCAGACCAAATAATAAAACCAGTTTTTTCATCAACAATTATTAAACGAAGTTCAGATGAACGTCGAGGATTTAAACCAGTATTATATAACCATATTGGATAACCTCGATGAATTAATTTCCATTGTTCTAATGAACAAACTTGAATATCAGTTAAAATAAATAAACGAATTAAACAAGGTGAAACATATATTAAACAACCCATTGAAGAATAAAGAGATTCAATACGTTCAATAAGAATATTTTCATTTATTGGTAATGTTTTATCTTCAGTAGATTTTCCATCAATTAATTCAGAAAAACGTCTTTGAAGTTTTTCTAATTCAGAACAATTCCATTTATTATTTTCTTTTTCAACTGTTAATAAAGGTTTTACTATTCCAAGTTGTTTTTTTTCTCGTTTTTCAATTGAATTATATTCCATTGATGGTATTAACGATAATAAATCATTTTTTCTTTTATTTATATCAATATTTAATAAAACATTTGATTCATCAAGTAAATATTCATCTAAAATAATTGTTTTTTCTTTTTTTTTTTTTTTTCAA